GCAGGCGGAGACAATGGGTCGACCAGGGCATTCAGGTTTGTGGATTTTGGGAAGGAGATAGAAGCGGGCAGTGCGAGGTTGGGGAACGATGAGGTTGGAGGCCATGGGTGGGAGGTCACCTGAGGTGATGAGGTTGTGGATGGTTTGCGAGATGATGGTTTGGTGCTCAGGGGTGGGGTCATGATCAAGGGGGCGGTAGGAGGAGGTGTCGGAGAGTTGGCGTCCGGCCTCGGCGATGTAGAGGTCAGTGCGCCATACTACAACTGCGCCTCCCTTGTCCGCGGGTTTTATGGTGAAGTTGGGATTGGAGCGGAGGGAGCGGAGGGCTGCACGTTCTGCGGGGGAGAGGTTGGAGTGGGTGAGAGGGGTGGAGAAGTTGAGACGATTGACGTGAGTATCGGGTGAAGGCCGGCGCGGAAGAAGCTGTCCTGAAACTTACCATAGAGCAGCTGAGAGCCAGTGGAGAGCAGACTAGAGGCTTGGAGCGGAGTGGAGACAGATGTTGGACTGGGGTCTTGCACAGGCTGTCAGACCGTGTATGGAAGTCCCTGCACCGAGCTGCTGCAGAGTAATATTTCTTTGATTTTTTTTTTTTATCTGACTGTAATGTCAATCCTTTGACTATGTCTTATCTCTAACTTATTCTTTAAATACTAAAATAATGCAACCACTTTTCTTTTTATTCCTCTTTTGTAGATAAGATTTGTACCCAGGTAGTTGTACCTAAGATGGTGCCATAAGAGGTGACATTGTTAAACTTTTCACTGTAATCCTATACTTCTGTACTTGACTATACATGACAATAAAGGATATTCTATATTCTATTCTTAATGCATTTGTGTAATAGTTCACACTCCTCAACTTAAAGCTATTTGACTACAATTGTCTGTCAGGTGAAAATAAATGAATTTATATTGTCAGGAGATGATTAAATAAGGGACCTTACTGAGGTAGACTTGTGGCAGTTTTATCAATATTCCTGGTTTCCTATCCTTCAACAATCATAGTTACTTTCATCCTGAATGTTAGCGTAGTTATTTAAAGGGGCATTGGTGAGATTGTTCTAGTCAAACAGTGCAAACTATTTAGGCAACATAAGATCTTAAGGAATAGAAGCAAGAATCAGACCATTCAGCCCATTAAGCTTGCCCTCCCATTCGGTATACAATAGTAGATTTACTCCATGTCTAACCACTGCTATTCTTGGCCTTGAAATGTTTAATGGAGCAGAGCAAAGACGTATTAACTCTAGCCTGTACTGTTTCAAATGGGGAATCCTTCAATGTAAACATCTTTACTTTGCATCAACTTCTCACTGTCCCTGAGATGGGACTCCTAAATGTGTTGCTCTATGCTCTTGCTGAGCTGGAAGGGAGTGTGGCAGTACAACCATCTGAGTGGGAACACCAGGTCTTGAACTAGAATAAGTTGCATGTGTGCACAGCTGAACAAATGTAAAGAGCCCAAGGAGAAAGGGCCAGTCACAGCAATTTAAAAAAGAACCAATTTAACCTGGTCTTCTTTAGTTAACAAAGAGGGAATTTATTAATTACTAAATGTGAGAAGTAGTAACACAACACACATAGATTAGAATTAAGAAGTAAGTGCAAAAAGAAATGAAACTTAGAAGAAGTCGGGATCAGTCTCAGGGTTATTCATGAAGAGTAGATCGTGGAATGTTGATAGTTGAGCAAACAGCTTCAAGATTCTTGGCATTTCAGATTAGCTCCAATTCTTTTATCCTGTGTTCTTTTGGACTGGCTTCCCGCACTCAGAGTGAGAGAGTCATAACATAGAACATTGAACATAGATCAGTATAGCACAGGAACAGGCCCTTTGGCCTACCATGTCTGTGCTGACCATGATGTCACTCTAAACTAATCCCATCTGCCTGAACATGGTATGTATCCCTCTATTCCCTGCTTGTTTACATGTCTGTCTAAATGCCTCTTAAACGCTGCTATCACATATCTGCTTCTAGCACCTCCTCTGGCAATGCATTCCAAGCATCTACCACCCTCTGTGCAAAAAAGTTGTCTTGCACATTTCCTTTAAACTTTTCCCCTCTCACTTTAAACCTATGCCCCCTAGTAGTTGACATTTCGACCCTGGGAAAAGACTCTGACTATCCACATTATCCATAGCCTTCTCAGGGGACTATGGACTTGCACCCCAAGATCAATTCTCCTAAGGGTCCTATCATTTACTATATACTTTCCTTTTACATTTGACCTCCCAAAATACATTACTTCACACTTGTTTGGATTAAACACGATCTGCCATTTCTCTGGTCAACTTTCCAACTGATCTATATCCTACTGCATCCTTTGACAATCTTCCTCACTTTCTACAACTCTACTAATTTTTGTATTGTCTGCAAACTTACTAATAAGATCAACTATATTTTCAACCAAATCATTCCTACATGTTACACTACAGAGGTCTCAATACTGATCCTTGTCAAGCACCACAGGTCACAGACTTCCAATCAATAAAAACCTCTGACCTTAGAAACATGGCTTGATGCAAATTATTAAGCTGCTTTATTCCACAGGGTGGTGAACATGCAGAACTCTGGGTATGATCAATTTTGCTTACTTTCATCAATGTAATTTGTCTTTATATAATAACATTATACTGCACTCACCACTTCATTGGACCATCTTGCTTTATCTCAAACTAATTTTCTACCCTCCCTCTCTGTCTCCATCTGCTTTTCCTTTACATCAGCATCTATGTAGGGATCACCTTCACCCTCCAATTGTTTTGCTTGTAGCTCTCCTTTGTGTCTGCCTGTCACACAGGTTCAGTTTTTCCTTTGTTCCTGTTGGTATTTCTTCCAGGTCAAGGTCACCAGGTCACAAAGAAATATAGAAAATAGGAGCTGGAGTAGGCCATTCAGCCCTTTGACGCCTGCTCCACAATTCATTATGACCATGGCCGATCATCCAACTCAACAGCCTGTTCCTGCTTTTCTCCTCTATTATCCATAGAATCCCTACAGTGTAGAAACAGGCCATTCGGCCCCACACGTCCACACTGACCCTCTGAAGAGCATCCACTCAGACACATCTGCCTACCTTATCCCTGTAACCCTACATTTCCCATGGATAACCCACCTAACCTACACATCCCTGAACATTGTGGGCAATTTAGTATGGCCAATCCATCTAACATGCCCATCTTTGAACTGTGGGAGGAAATCGGAGCACCCGGAGGAAACCCACAAAGACTTGGGGAGACTGTGCAAACTCCACACAGACTGAGGCTAGAATCTGACCAGGCTCACAGGCACTGTGAGGTAGCAGTGTCTAACCACTAAGTCACCGTGCCATACAGAGACACTGATCCACCGATGCCCTAAGTGCTAGATCCAACTCTTTCCTGAAATCATATAATGCTTTGACCTTGACTGCTTTCTGTCAAAGCAAATTCCATAGGTTCACCACTATGGGATGAAGAAATTTCTCCTCATATCAGCCCCAAATAGTTTACCTCATATCATTAGATTGTGAGCCCTGGTCCTGGACTCCTCAGTCATCAAGAATATCATTTACCAACCCTAGGCCAAAGACTGGCAGGAAAAGATTTATCAGGTCATTTTAAGGATGGACAGTTGGGAGAACTCACCGATTATTCATGAACTGACCATTTGCCACAAAGAACAAAAGCAGCTGAATGGAGAAGTTTGTTTGTTTTTTGTCAATTTCAGCACCCTCTGTTGAAATCTCAGGCTCTTAGCACCCTAAAGAAACACCCATTACTGCCACAGCTGAGTCAATTATTTCAGTGAATAAAAATAGCCTTCTTCCATTCCACATAAGAAAAGGAATAGGCTCTCGATATGGCAATCATCTCTGTGCCAGAGCCTAAAACAAGGTTTCCCACATTTATCACATGAAACTCTGCGTCACAGTCATGGTAGAAGTCCATAAATTACGACACTATTCAGCGCGGTCATCTGTCTAACTTATTCCCACCATTCCCCACTTTTATAAATACAGAAACATAACATTTATCAGAACATGCATTTAATTCTCATTCAGGCCTTCATAACCCAGCCTACATGTCAAAGGTAGTGTTCCATTGTTCGAATTATTCTCCTCTATTGAAGTCTGATCATAAGCATGGTTCATTGGGAATGAATGATCTTATAACATTAATTAGAGAAATATTGACCCAACCGAATGACAATTCTTCTTTGAACCAACGTGATCCAAGGTGATTAACTGACACCATTCCCTGTTGTTATTGATTTTGTTGTGAGGAAAGTGATTGTTTCTTCAGCTGCATAGCGTTTCAAAGTATATAGTAGTATCCGAAGCATTGAATTTTGCTTCAGAAAGAGCTGGTGAGGTGCTATATGAATGC